GCTCCTACCCTGGGGGTCTTTAAGAAGCGGCTCGATGCCTACCTGGCTGGGGTCACTTGAGCCCAGTTTCCCTCCTGCCCAGGCAGGGGGTCGGACTTGAAGATCTACAAGGTCCCTTCCGACCCTACTTCTATAATTCTATGATGTTGTTGTTCCGTTACACTCAGACTCATCCATGCATAGCTGATTCCTTCATGTTTTCTTTTTTTTTTACAGCAAGGAGCATTTTGACAACATCCCTGACCTAGAGTTCAACCCAATTAGATCAAAAATTGTCCATGCCTTTTTTGACAAGAGGTAAGAGGAGCACCCCTGGCAGCTATCGGGGAGGTTTGATGTAATCACATTTGTCCTCCTCCGCTGACCTTAAAAAATAACAGACTTCATTTTCATCTCAAGCAATGGCTGGTTGTGCCAGGTCAGCAGTGGGTAGGCCTGTGTCCTACCTGTTCCGTGGATGAACATGCTTGTCCCTTAAGCAGGACTTTTTATGGTTTATACTACAAAGAGACTGGTATGTATAACTGGATATAGATACTTGAAACAATTATATCAACTGTGGGGAGGCAGGATGTCCTGTATTTCAGTCTCAGCTTAGCTAGTTCATTCTTACCTATTCATTCAACATAATACTAGATTCTCTTAACCAGTGTCACCTGCAAATCAAGAGAAGTGATTCTTTTGCTCTGTTGGCACTGATGAAGCTTCTCCTGGTGTACCATGTCTAGTTTTGGACTCTGCACTTCAAGAAAGATGTGGACATATTAGAAAAAGTCCTGGGGACAATGACAAACATGATTAGAGGCCTGAGAAACATGACTTATGGTTAACGTCTGAAAGAACTAGGGTTATTTAGTCTGGAGAAAAGAAGACTGAGGGAGGATTTGCTAACAGTCTTCAAATACCTGATGATAGTTATAAGGAAGATGGAGATAGACTATTCTCTGTGGCCATAAAAGACAGGACTAGGAACAATGGCCTCAAATTACCGTAGGAGAAATTTAGTTTGGAGATAAAGAAAAACGGCCTGACTATGAGGGTAAGTAAGTATTGGAAAAGGCTGCCTAAGAGAAGGTGTGAAATCTCAAACCCTGGACATTTTCAAGAACAGGTTGGACAGATGCTTGTTTAGGATGGTTTAGTGAGGGATGATTCTTCCTTAAGCAAGGGGCTGGACTAGATGAACTCCTGAGGTCCCTCCCAGCCCTACGTTCCTATATGTCCACACTTCACTGTAATAAGTGGAAACTAAACCTTGGTAATTTAGCAGCTGTTTGATTCTGGGGTACACTGCCCTAGCTTAGTTTCCACTTTGTCAGATAGGAATGGAGGGGTGAAACAGCTGCAACATTAGCTGACCTGAGCTTGCAAATGGGAAGTCTTCCCCACCCTTTCTCCCTTCTCATTTTAAATCAGTATCATTGTTTTGTCTGTCTGCAGCCTGGATGTGAGTTAATGTAGGCTGGAGCCTGCTGCCAGAGATTACTCTGATTGTATGGGCAGGCTGAGTCACATCACAGGTTGTGCCTGTGGATGAGTATTAAGGGGCTGTTGTGTCGTTTGTTTTTTTTAAAGACCTAAACGGGGGTGACATCAGAACAAGAACATTTAGGGCTGAATATTAGGAGGAGAGTTAATGATAACAACTCAGTGCAGGAACAAGCCCTGACTTTTGCTCATTATGCTGCTTACAACAGTTTCACTCTTGCCCTTGTGCTCCCTGGCTGGCTATATCCACCTGTGGCCGCTCATTGATTGTATCCCACATCCACACCCTGGAAATTTTCAAGAACAGGTTGGACAGTTGCTTGTCTAGGATGGTTTAGTTAGGGATGATTCTTCCTTAACGGCAGGGACTGTCCTTTGTTGTTTGGTCAGTGCCCAGTACCTGCCTCTGGATGCTTAATCAATACATATAATGATTATTGGCCTCCTAAGGAAAGTGGTGGGAGTCCTGTTGGTTAGGACATTTAACACTGAACCTGACAACCTATTAGTGTCAGTAGCCAATCCTGTGCTAGAACGGGTGGAGATGGTGACCTAACTGGGTCTATTTTCTGACCCGGTATGGAAAGTTGCTGGCTGGATTCTCACTGCAGGTGCCACTATGGCTATCCTTTGTGTCACTTTCATTATCCGGTGTCTCTGCAGGAATCTACGACAGGAGTCAGATGGGTTAGCTGATGAGATCAACTTTGAAGACTTCCTGACCATCATGTCCTATTTCCGGCCGATTGAGATGAACATGAATGAAGAACAGCTAGATCACTTCCGGAAAGAAAAGCTAAAATGTGAGACTTGCCATGAGTCCCCACCCTGAGGTCCCTGGCTTTAGAGGCAGCCTGCATGGTGAGGCCCACCACCCCTAGCCCAGGATCCCTACTCTAGCTCTTTCCGTGGTCCCTTCTATTTGCAGTAAGCATTGGGTTCTTGGGGTACATGGGTATGATTTGGCTCTGAGCCACTGGAGCCCTGGACTGACTCCACTGCTGCCTTGTGCCTCGTGTTTCCTAGTTCTCTTTCATATGTACGATTCAGACCATGATGGGAAGATCACACTGCAGGAGTACCGAAATGTAATGTATTGTTCCTGCCCCCCTCCCCCCCGCGCTTCTCCCAGCGTCTCTCTCCAAATGCTCTCTGCAACCTCTAAAGCTGCCTTGTTTTCCTTCCTCTCACTCCCTGGTAGGTGGTGGAAGAGCTGCTGTCTGGAAACCCCCACCTGGAGAAGGAGTCAGCAAGGTCTATTGCAGATGGTGCCATGATGGAGGCTGCCAGCATCTGTGTTGGACAAATGGTAGTAGCCACTGGCTTGGTCTAGAGCTGTGTAGGCACTGTAGCATGATGAGCTTGCAGTGAGGCCCCATGGGGCAGTTTGGTGCTGTTTAGTGGAAGCAAACATTGGGTAGCACTGAGTTGTTCTGGGCAGCGCCCTGCTGTCTGCTGCAGTGCACATGGGCCTTGTGCTGTGCACTGTGTCTTGCACTCCCATACTAAACACTATGGGATCACATGGCTCTTTTCTACATGGTGCTGTTGTTTGGGGGAGGGTGGCTATTCCTGTGCCCTGTCTGCTGCTCTTAGATGCAGCCACTTGTGCATGCAAAATTCATCAGAGCTCTGTCTTGCAGAGCAGCTGGCCCAGATGCAGTCCCAGGACCTGTCCAGACACCTCTTCCCAGGCCTAAGCATGTTCTTGGGCTCCCTGAAAGCAATATATTCAGCACCTTACAGGACTGGAGCCTGCAGACCTCTCTTTGGTCCAGGAGGCCAGGGAGCCTGAGACCCTGTGGGGGGAGGAGCTCCGTGTAGATGGAAGTTTCTGCCATCCTTTGTTGCACACAGTTATGTAAGAAGCCCAGGGAACTTGTGTACTGAAGGAATACCAAACCCCCACCAGTCACCCTCCCCCTGTTGTAAGGAGGCACTGCTTGGTGCCTGTTCTTTTGAGGCATTTAAAATAAGCAGCTGCAGTTTCTGACTAAAGCTTATTGCTGTGCTGAGAAGCAGGTGATTGCTGTCGACTGGGAGCCCTGGACAGCAGCCAGTAGCGCAGTGACTATTTGCTTGGAGTGTGATGCCCTGGAAGTCCAGTCCGGTAATCGCCTTCTGTTTTGACAGCATTAGTCCCCTGAAGTCCTGTTCTGGGGACTGGATTTCCAGTCTGTGACTTCCTGGCTGCATTCAGTCCACCTCAGAGCCCCTTCTGACCTCCCAAATATCAGCTTGTGCCAGCAAAACACAGGCTGGGCCTCTTTTCCTCCCCA